CGAAGACTGTTGATTTTTGTTAATTTTTCATAGAGGTCTAGTGATTTAAGTTTAAAATTACTTAAAATATAAAAAAATATAATATAAATGCATTTTATTTTTACAATAATGCCAAACCTTTAAAATGACTAGATTAACTTAAATAAATATCCATTGTTAGTATAAAATTGACGCCTTAGAAAAGCATGCGCCTCTGAAGCGTATGGTTATCTTTTACGTACGTTGTCATATGGTTATCTTTCTAGGGTTAAATCGTTTTCTACGAAAGAGTTTTCTTAACTTCAACCATTTCGAAACAAAAAATGTGAAACCGATTATTTTGATCGACTTGATAAAATCATCGTGTAATTGAGTAATGTACTTACTGGTTTTGTAGCAGACAAATTACGAATTAATTCTATGAACTCTTGGCATGTTGAAAGCTATTAAATACCGACAATTTCAAGACCGACTCCTTGAGTGGTTAATTCTCGTTTGCCGCGATTTAGATAAGGCCAACCAAGAATTACTCGCTTGAAATTGTTTATACGCATTCAGCCTCTCGCACTAAAGTCCAGGGCTTAGCCACATTTACTAAAAAAAAAATATTAATTTTCGGATTAGAGTTTAATGAAGAACCGGGGATTGAAAGGATTTAACCTGGCGCCTGAGCGGCGCACTGGCTCCTTTATGGTTACAAGAGTTTACATTATCCTACACAAGCCCTCAACCCCATTTGAGCACATCAAACGATGCTCTGAGATCTCTTGAGAGATTCCCGGAGCTCAAAAGACAATCGTCTGAATTTTCAATTAAACATTCTGGAAGATTAAGAAAACTGATTCTCGGTGAATGGCTCTTCAGAATTAGTATTTCTCTGGCATGACATTTCTCGAGCTATTCGGCTAGTAAGTAATGCAATTGTTAAACAAAGAGTTCGTTAAAAGAAATTGCATTCAAGCTTTCCAAAAAGTATAATACAAGCTGCCAGTTAATTTCGAGAGAACGAAGTTGCTCCGAAGCCGGAACGAGACAACGCTGATCACGGTGAAACATATTTGACAAAGAAAATTCATCTGCCATCTTAACAAATTTAACACGTTAAGTGCGGCAGATCAACCATCAAAAATTCCCACGAAAGTAATTTGATGAACTGATCATACCAGATATTAGTTCGAATATATTACGAATATATTATATAATATATCGAATATATTATTAATAACACCTTCGCCGGCTGAATTTCGTTTTAAATTCCGTATACGAAAGCATAAATTAATTAATTAAATTCTACTGTTTT